GTTGTATCTCAACAGTCTGTCTTCCTTTCAGAAAACTGGGGCAAGTTGAAATAAAAACAACTCTTTGTACTGTTAAAAATTATATTTCTGAAATGCTATAATGTTGTATTTTGTCCCTTCAAAGCTGTATAGAGCTTCTGTCAAGGAATGTAGACCTTGAGTGACTGCTTTTATTTTTAGAGTATTTTCTAACCCAATAGCCCTCTTTCAGTCTGCCGGAGATGGACAGAGGAATTATGAACTTAAGCAAAGACCAGAGACTTAAAATAGTATGAAGGGAAAAGCACCAAGATATGCACATGTTATCTGTGCGGTTTAGTTATATGCAAGGAAAGAACACACCTTGTGTGAAGATCCAATAATAGGAATTTATTTTTAGTCTAATTGATGCTTTAGCAGTCTAGTGAAGATATGACAACCTCTTATTAGTTCAATTACAACAGTGCTAACACTTATAATCCAACTCACCCAGTTTCTCTTAAAGTCCATTAATAATTCAGTAAAAATCAATAGACACAAGTAGTTTCCCCTTTCCTCTTACCCTCCCTGTGCATTGCTGCAGCGAGGTGTTAGTGGCCCAAGTTCTTTGCTGGGGATGATGGAAGATTGTTTTATTTTTTCTCCTTGATCTTTGTGTATGCTTGAGGTTGTTTTTGTATACTTTAATACCATACATGAGGTATGTTCTCATAGTTAGTTCCACTAGCAGAGAGGCCAAGATTCACAGGGATGGTGGATGAATGATGACCTTGCTCTTAGCAGTGGACCCCTTGGGTCAGGATGGAGGTTTACTGATGAATTGCATGGGAGAAGTGGAAAACCATCACCTTCTCCAGCAGGTAAATGCAGGGCTTCGTATTTATGGGCTATGAAGACAGAACCTTTCATTAACAAAGAAACACTTTTGTTTGTTTTGTTTTTAAATTGTAGGTCTACTCTACTCTGCTCTTGTGTTCAGGATAATTTTTGACGCACTTAAGAAATCAATTTTTATAAATAAAGCTTTTTGTGATCCTGTTTGCTTTCTTCTTAGACACTTAATGTATTTTCTTGTAAAAATCCTGCAAGAGCATCTCCCTGCCCACTGTATGCCTCTGTGTGACCAGAGAGATCAGTGATGCTAGATACCACTGAGTTTTAAAGGAAACAGCTGGAGTCTGCAGGACATTATCCATAAAGGATCCTCGGTTCTGGAAATAGCCTCTTTGCTTTACAGCCCAGATTTCCTGATTTAGAACCAAACTCATTTGTCCTGCCAGGCTTTTGTGGTGGATAAAGGCAATGATGGATAGTGAGGCCTAAGGAGAGGCTTTGTTTGTTAGCATGAGGCTTTGCTCAACAATGATTTATAGATGGCAGGTCAAGTTCTGTTCTTATTAATGGGGTTGTAAAACATAACTGGGAATTTCACTCTGGGGAAATAAAGACATTAGGGTGCAGGAGGAGGGGATACAGGGAAACTTTTCCTAGGTTATGTATTTTGCATAAATTTTGTTTGAGTGCTTGGAGGAATAAAGAATGGCACTTTTTTTGGTGATTTTGATGTTTTTGCAAGTATAAATAAATCATTGAAGTGCAGATTGCAAACACTTTTGCACTAACCAATTTTCCCAGAGATGCCTCTTTTATCTGTTCTACTGAGAATAGAGCAGGTTGATGATCTCCATGACTACATTGTTGTCAGTACATCACAGCTGGTGGCTCAGTATCACATCACAGACTTCAAGCACACAAGTCTTTATTATTGAGTGTGTAGAGCCATTGGAATGGTGCATTCATCCTATTGAACTGACTTCAGCATCTTACTGGCTAAACAGTAAGACATTAATGTGCATTAATATGCTAACTAGGCTTTTTGGCAGGGGAAAACTGAGATAAATGTGGACTTTCTTAGATATTGAAATGCATCAGGTTTTCTCTTGTACTTGGTGTATTTTATCTAAAGGTGAATAAAAGGCTACACCAGTGTTTCGACCAGTAAGCAGGATGAAAAGGCTTTTATTTTGGTAGCTTTGAAAGGGAACAGATGTTGGGCTCTTTCCTTGCCCCAGTTCAGTCTTCCTTGATCTGTAATACCTTAACCTAATGTATAGCAAGCTCGAATATGGAAACTTGCATTCCTAATGCATAGAAAGCTTCCCTTGCTAAAGAGGGAGTGGAGTCACACGTGGTCAACCTCCGTGTGACAAACTGTCATTTGACTGTTACTTTATCCATTTTGTATTATTTATCTTCTGTGTCCAGTGGTGAGGTAATTTAGTGCTAAAGTTGCAAACTGTTTGTAAAGGCAGCTTCTTATCAGCTATGCATCCATGGTGTAGAGCAATGGAGTTCTGACACTTGATTAGGGTCTTTAGGTACCAATGTAATGTAATAATGTAATTATTTCCTTTGCATTATATACAGATTTTCTAGAGTGCTGGATGAGTAAGAATTTTATTTTCCAGTGACTTTAAAAAAATGCAGTAAACATCTTTGCAAATCAGTTTGGAAAAAAAATCAGATTTGTTCAAATGAAACACTTCAAAGTTAACCTGATCAGTTGTAGTTGTGGGTTTTTTTGTGTTCTGTGTATTTTTTTTCATAATAATTGAGTAAGCAAGGTTCTGAAGTAAAGACAATTATAAATAGAACATTTTGCAAAACCTCAATATGTAGTATGTTGGCAAAATGAAAACTTTTATTTAGAACACCTCTAAATTAGAAGCTCTGGCTTTAAGTTTTTCATTGCAAAGTGAAAACCATTAGCATTTTGGGTCTCCTGTGGCTATTTACTTGCCAAAGCAATCATTAATGTAGTTTTCAGAAAGTTCTATTTAATGCTTTTGAGGCTTTGGATCTTTAAGTAGAGTTTTCTGAGGGTGCCAAGCCAGCTCCTAGGCAGTCTGTTGACGCCAAGAACATAAGGCCTCTAATTACTCGAAGACTGATGTTGTTACTTAAATACAAATCAACACCATTAATTTCATATGAAGTTGTGAACTGGAATTAGGAAAGGCACAAGTTGCATCCTTTGTGGTAGTGGCTGAGGCGTATGTTATAATTGCTGGCTGGTTTTGTGAACTGCACATTTATGTTTCTACAGAACACCTGTATGTCAGGAGATCTGTGCCATTTCCCACTTTTCATGCAAAATCAGCTGCCTCTGTGGTAGCCTTGTGAGGGCTTCACTTTTTTTTTTTTTTTTTACTTTCTTAGATGACTTTCACAAAGTGTTTTTAGCCTTAGTATGCTCACTGTGCTTACTGTAAATACACATTTATTTCTCTGTGTGTGTATATACATGAAAATTAGAAAACTAACTCTTCCACACCAACACACTAATAGAGCTGTAACTTTTCCATGCTTGCAGAGCTCACAGGGAAAGGAAGAGCAGGAAAGCAGCTGAAGTATATTGGCCATGAAACTCTTAGAAACTGAATTTGTGCAAAGCACTCCCTGAGCATCACAATGGGCACCTCCATGGTCTGTAGCCAACTGCCCACAGCTTCTCCAGCAGAACAGTTGCACTGGGCAGAGAAACTGGGCAAAAGAAATTTTTTTAAATACTGAGTGAAATTAGGAAATTACTACAGAAGTGCTAACGTTCAGTACATTGCATTGTTTTGTATGGAAGGCAAATTTTCGTCTGGAAATGTAAAGGGAAAAAAAAAAGTAGGCAATGAGTGCAGCTGATAAGTAGCTGTTCATTTAAAGACACTGGGAAGAGGAAGAATTGGGAGATAAGCATATGACCTAAAAAGGAGTAAAGTACAGGAGTTAGCACTATTGACATATAGCATCATGACATTAAGAAGTCAACCCTAATGTGAGTTTATATATCCAGTCTGTTGTTTTGAATTATCATCAAACTCTGCAACACATCACTTTTTCATCCAAAGAGTTTATTTTCAACTCTGAAAGTTGTAAACATTATTGAGAACAGGGAGGAAATAAAAACTGATGAGCAGGACAAAAACAAGCCAACAGCTAACCTTTTGATTTTTAACAGACTTTTGTAGCAAGGTTCAGTGGCGCATTGCGTGACAGTATAACTGGATGTACAGAGCATCTCAGTAGTGCTGTCATTATCTTTAGTATTACAGGAGCAGTGTGCTACTAAGCACTTCCAAATTAGTATAGTAGTTGTTCTTTGCAGAAGTTGAGGGTTTTTGCTATTTGTGGTGCTTTCTCTGTCTTACCATTGAAGTATAACCTGCTACAAGAAATACCTCTAATTTTGCAGCCCAAGGGAGTACCCAAACCAATCAAGTTTTGAAGTCCATGCCAACAGTGATTTATGTCTGGAATTTGCTCTAGGACTTCATACTGCAGCATGTATTTCACAACAACAAGTATTTTACCAAGTTGCAATTTTTTATGTTAGAACAGGTATTTTTATAAATCATATTCTTTCAGGTTCCTTTCAGATATGGTGTGCATACAGATATGTATGTGTTCGTATATATTAAAATTACTGGTTGGCTACTTTATAGTTCTAAGAGAAACTTATTAGTTCTGCTATCTTTTCAGATCTTACCGTATTCTTTACAGTTTCTTTCCAAAGAAAGCTGTTAGATCAAAGGCAAACAGTAGGCATAATGTAATGCGTTTGCACACTGATGACTGCAGTGACTACACAGGTACAGCGACAGATGACATTGCAGTGTTGAGGCAGTTGGTCTGCTCTTTGGGACCCCAGTTATTTTGTTTGTTTGTTTGTTCCTATTTAAATCATAGGAATAACATCATAGGCACTTCAGAAGGAAAGATGTAAGCCAACGTAATCTTCTTTGTAACTCAACTAACAGCTGTTCATGGAAAGCTCATGCTGCTTCTCTTGCTTGAACCCTTCAAGCATTTTTTTTAAAAGAAGAAAGACAAAAAATTTCCAAAATGCATTGCTGTACAAGTAACCTTTTAGTCTAACCTGCTACTGATGGAAGTGAATAGTGGTGTACGGAGAGATTGCAAAGAATGCTGCTGAATTTGACTCATGTTTCTCTTTGCCTTATGCACAGATATTGATGAGTGTGCTGAAGGACGGCACTACTGTCGTGAGAATACCATGTGCGTAAATACACCAGGATCCTTTATGTGCATCTGCAAAACAGGATATATACGCATTGATGATTATTCATGTACAGGTAAGAGCCATTTATTTGTGAGAAAAAGTAACAGGATGATGTTATTTTGGAGCAGTGATATGATTTTTCTAAAGTTAGTCTTTGTTAGAGTCACACCATATCTACATGAAATGTTAAACAGAATAAACACCAAAATAATTAGAAGGGTACAATGCAGAAAAGCTAATGCTTTTTTACAGATAATGCGTACGTTGTATAATTTGCTTGAAGTTGTAAGGCAGGTGAAGGAAGGAGGCTGAAGGGAAAAATAAGAGACCAAAAGTAGTGCTACAGGTTACTGAGTTTCTGTGTGGCATAGAGTATAATGATTTTTCTGCAAACTTTTGATGGAATTAAACTTGCTGCATATTTGAAGTGGCTGTTTCCTTGTTTTGAATTCTCCTGCATTGGGGAGGTTCCCCAGCTGAATCCTGAGTTCAGAGGGCAGGAGCTCAGACTGCCTTGAGCTATGTGACAACATCGTGGGTCTTATCTCTGTATCTTCCCTTTTTGCTCTGCTGCCTCTGGAGAAGGTGTTGGGTTCATACTGACTTTCTGTCTTCTGGTCTTCCTCCTGTCTTCTGGTCTTCTGGCCCAGGGAAGTGGTGGAGTCATCGTCCCTGGAGGTGTTTAAGGAGAGACTGGATGTGGCACTTAGTGCCGTGGTCTGACTGATGTGATGGTATTGGGTCATAGGCTGGACTTCATGATCTCAGAGGTTTTTCCCAGCCTCAACAATTCTGTGATTCTGTGATTCTGTGTTTCTTTTACTGCAAGCTGTTTTAGGGTTATGGAATGAACACTGAACATTTAAAACAGCCAGACTGACTGTGAGCATTCCTGGGAGGAATGTGTTTTTTTCCTACTGGACAGATAAATATGATTCAAAGATGTGACATGTTCTCTCAGTTAAGAAAAATGTGTATGAACAAAATAGAGCCGCTATTTTGTGTGCACAGGGGAATGCATTAGTTCTTTCTGTAAGAGGATATATTTGTTCAGTAAAACTTCCTTGGAGTTCATATTATCTAACAGTAAAGCTGGTTATAAATGGATTAGAGTATTCAGAATGTGGAGATAGCACTGTGAAGTTAATTTCTAAATTTATTTAATCCTGTCCTTTATGTCTTGGCATTTGTGAGCATCAATGACATGTGTTGGTAGAGAAACAGCTTCTTCATAAACTGGCATAATTTGCTTGCCCAAACATGCACAGCACCCGGGGACGGGGATTTGAAAGAACACATGCGTGATTTTTATGTCTACTGCTTTACCTGTGCTTGTCATTCCTCTCTCAGCACTATTTTACTGCAGTGGGCCCAGTTCTTGAAAGACCAAGTTATAGGCTCCTTGCAGGTCCTTTCTGAAGCAACTGGTATGTTTCTGATCACCCTTTCTCATGCTTCCCACACTCTCAGCTGAGTAAAGCAATTGTTTCACTACCGAGTATCATTGTTGGAGTTGTTTGGGAACTTGCTTTATCTGTATCACTGTGATACTTTTTTCCGCTTTGCTTCCCTTGACTTGCTATTCTGATTGAACTCAGCAAATGGTAAACTGTCACAAACAACTTCACAGGGACATTTGGTGCCCATAAATATCATTAAATATTTCTCGGTACTCCGCATGTTGCATTCCTCATATTTGATGAAACCTACTGTTGTGAAATCAGTTTAGTTCAAGGGCTCTGGACAGTCAAACTGGTGTAAAACTGGCTGGAAATCTGTTACAGAAGTCACATTCCAGACTGAATTTGGCCCAACATTTGTAAATAATAGTTTCCTGTGAAATCAGACTGATGAGTGACAAAATGAATGATTTCTTTTCCACCTTTCCTTTGATCAAGCTGGGAAAAGTTAATGCAGAAGGAAGTGGATGAAAGTTTTGTAAGTCATGCAGCGACTTTTTTTATTTCTGAGCAATGCCAGTCAGAGTTTTCTTGGAATTAAATTATAATGAATTATGCATACTGAGAGGCAGCCACAAGGATGTAGTGACTGTTGGGTGGTAGAATTTCCATAAAGGGCAACTAACTTCATTAACTGTATATGTCACAAAATAACTGTATTTTTTTTCTGGTTCCACGACCAGTATGAGCGTCTCTGGTGGAAGCACTGGTCAGTTGCTAAAGTATGTAGACTTCTGAGACTCTTGCATGACATTTCCACCGAAAAACTAGTGAATGAAAGGTTAATTATATTTTAAAAATTGAAGGAAACACAGGATACATTTAAAGTCATGTGCTTTGATCAGTAAATGGTATTGTGCACTTGTTTTAGCCTATATGAGTGATGCTGAGAGCATTTATATGGTAGCACTGTATTAAAGCAGGTGACAAGTGTACGTATTTGTATGTGAGAGTGCTGCAGGTTTTTCACCCCTCCACGTATTCCTTGGTCTCTGCTGGTTTTTCCTTCTGTTAAAGCTCCTGATTTTGGAGACTTCCATGTGCACTCATTTGCCCAGGTGTAAGTCTAAGAGGCAAAGTGATTGCAAGTAGGGAGGTTATGTTGCTGTGTTGCTGGACCTTTAACATGGAGTCAGTGAGAGTTTTAAACTACGAGATTGTGTAGCATTGTGTCTCCCGAAGAAACCTGCTCTGCTCTGAGATCCAGCAAAGTTCAGTGTAGCAGAGACACTGAGCATTTGCAGGGCATTGCTGAAAGATGCATATGTTAATAAATCAGTGCAAAATAACAGTTGGAAGGAGGTTGTGATGCTACTGACAGTATTTTGCTGTCCTGCAGACACACCAACAGGTTTAGTCTAGGCTGTTATGCTTGGGTATAGCTGGCTTTTCATAAGCATGATTTTCTCTTACAGCATACTGCGGTATTTTAAAGCAAGTAGTTTATGAGAAAAACTCATTATACTTGTCTTTATTGTCTTGGTTTTTTGTTTGTTTGTTTGCTTTTGATTTAAGTGGAGCCATAATGACATTCAGCTGAACAAGTGATATCTAGGACTGAAGGAAGAAAAGTATTTTCCAAATACATTTTATTTAGAGAGTGAAGGCAGTGACATGTGTTAGGGATCTCAGCCTGTCTCAGCCAGCCTTGCATTTACTTTATTTAAGTCCATCGGTTTAATCTGCCTTTTATGATTGTAGAAAGCAGCAAGTAGATGTCTGTGCAGTTTGAGAGTTGAGATACCAACTTGTCCATGCCCAGCACACCTCTCAGTGCATCATGAGCTCACAGCCCATTCACTGCAGCTGGGAATTATTTCAGTTAAGCTCAAATTTCATCATAAAGGTGCTAGTTCTCGAAGTTAAAAGCATAAACCAAGCCTTTTTATCTGTCAGAAAAGCAGGACAGTAAGGAGTAAAGCAATCGTGATGATAGACCAAAGAGACAGAGCTTTGCAATATCAGGAGGTATTTTTGAAAGGTTTTGTGAAGAGTATCCTGTTTAACTTGGCATATCTGTGAAAGTAAGGCTGTGCACTGTCCTTAACAAAATTTTCTGGGTTTTCCATATTACTTTTTTGTTCTGATAATCATGTTTATTGTGGAAGCTACACAGAATAGTTGACGTATTTCACAGTCCTTACAAAAACTGGTGCTTACATCTGACAGAAGTAAAAAGTGGGAAAGATGTCTGTGAAAGAAATTATATTTTAAAACCTATTGAAACACTGATATGCAGAAAACGTTTACATTCGTGCCACTGGATAGGCTCTGTTTTTTGTAATTCATGGAAAAAAAGTAGGTACTGTAGGACAAAACTTCTGCAGCGCTCTTTTTTATTTTCCTCGAGATAGCTGGAAGCATCAGCTTTGATAGCACCAGTTTCCGGCTACTGCAGAAGGATATTATAAAGATGCGTCTTGCCAGCTACTTGTGAGAGGCTGCAGAGGCCTCACACAGACACGTCTTGTGCACAAAGGTAATTCAGATTCTTTGAGGAGCACCTTGGTGCTGCAGGCATACTACAAAAATTACGAAAGTCTGTATAGTGGTTGTATGTGTTTGTGTAGTATGCAATTCTGTTCCTATCTCTTGGTACTTACATACAGAGGCCAATGCACTTTGTGTTTTGCCAATGTTTGTAACTAAATTTAGTTGTTTAACTCTCTTTAGCCTTCTGCAGAATTTAGAGTTCTTGGCAAGTCTTCATTTGCCTCGTTGGCAATTCTGAGTTTAACTTGCTGGCTGAAATATCAATGAAACTGAAGAGGAGGCAGATTTTTAATTCAGTTCAGGAATAACAGGGCAAACAAGTAACAACTGACTCTGTGTGTTACTAAATGGTAAATTTTTAAAATGTATTTCAGGTCACACTGTTCCTTGTAACGCTGCGTAATCGAATCCAGTTATGGAACTGTAGCTGTGCATAAAATTGCTGACTTACTGTAAGCTGGACCAGTAGCTCTGATAGCACAGCCTTGGGAATGTTACTAAGCAGGAAGAAAATATTCTGTAGCTTGGCATTAACAGGTCGTTGTTTGCACAGGACAGCTGAAGCACAGGAAGGAGATGTTGAAAAATTGTACCTGAACCTTGATTAGGCTGGTTATGATGTGAGTGCTGTCCACACAGCTTGCTGTGAGACTAACGTAAAATGCCTTATTGTTCCATTCTGTACACATGTGTATAATTTAGCAGTCATTGATCAAAATAGAAAAGAGACAAAATCAGTGACATTGAAGGGTTTTTCTCCTGTATGAGACATTTGAAAAGAAATCTGTGCTATCTATCTCTGTCAGAGTCCTGGGCACAAAAGACTGATTTAGACAGCTATAGCTGCTTCCAGAACAGCTTCAATCTCTTTCTTCCTGGCATGTTTATTGCAAATTTTACAATAGATCTGAATTACATTTTGATTTTCACAACAAAGGATATAATGAAGAAATCAATTTCAGATTTTGATATTTGTATTCATCTTGGAGGCAAGATTCACGGAGTTAGAGTTAGTCGCAACCATATTTACACAGAAATCTCTTGTTTGGGACTGATTTTATGGGCCAAATGGGTGCACAAATTGCAAATTAAAGGCATAGAAAGTGTGCCCTGGGCTGCT